AGAGTTCTGAGCCCATTTTTTTTTTTGGCATGTAGCTGTCCAGTTTGCCAGCACAATTTGTTAAAGAGGATTTCCTTGCTCCACTTTACAATTCTTGCTCCCTTATTAAAGATTAGATGATCATATATTTGAGGGGGTGTTTCAGTATATTCAACCCTGTTCCATTGGTCTATGGCTCTGCCTTTGTCCAGTACCATGCTCGTTTAATTATTACTGCTTCGTAGTAGAGTTTGAGGTTGGGGAAGTTGATTCCTGCCATTTTCTTTTCCCCCAGAATTGCTTTAGCTATTTGTGGGGGCTTATTGTACCATATGAATTTCAGGAGTGTTTGCTCCATTTCTTTGAGGGATGTCATGAGTATCCTTATAAGGATGGCAATGAATTTGTAAAATGCTTTGGGGAATGTTGCCATTTTGACAATGTTAATTCTCCCCATCCATGAGCAGTGAATATTTTTCCATTTCCTCGTGTCCTCTTTTATTTCCTGAAGTAGCATTTTGTAGTTTTCTTTGTTCAGGTCTTTTATGCCCTTAATTAAGCTGATTCCCAGGTACTTGATTTTCTGAGGCATGATTGTGAATGGGATGATTTTTTTCATGTCACTTTCTTCTCATTATTTGCGTATAGGAAAGCCATGGACTTTTGTGTATTGATTTTATAGCCTGTAACTTTACTATACAAATCTATTGTTTCTTGGAGTTTCTTGGTAGAGGTTTTAGGGTTCTCTAAGTATAGTATCGTATCATCTCCGAATATTGAGAGCTTGAGTTCTTCCTTTCCTGTCTGAATGCCCTTAATATCTTTTCCTTGCCTAACTGCTATTGCAAGTACTTCCAGTATTAAATTGAACAGCAGTGGAGAGAGTGGGCATCCTTGTCTCATCCCTGATCTTAGAGGGAAGGCTTTCGGTAGGCTTGTGGTAGATGACTTTAACTATATTGAGGAAAGTCCCTTCTATACCCATTTTGGCGAGGGTTTTCATCATAAATGGGTACTGGATCTTGTCAAATGCTTTCTCTGCATCTATTGATATGATCATAAGGTTTTTATCTTTTCTTTTGTTGATATGATAGATTATGTTGATTGATTTCTGAATGTTAAACCATCCTTTCATCCCCGAAATGAATCCCACTTGGTCATGTGTATGATCTTTTTGATGAGTTGTTGAATTCTCTTTGCTAGTATTTTGTTGAGAATCTTTGCATCCGTGTTCATCAGGGATATTGGCCTGTAGTTTTCTTTTCTTGTGGTGTCTTTGTTTCTTTTGGTATTAGAGAGATATTTGCCTCATAGAAACTGTTTGGGAGAGTTTCTGTTTCTTCAGTTTCCTGGAAAATCTTAAGAAGTGGCAGTAGGTCCACTTTAAATGTTTAGAAAAATTCACTGTTGAATCCATCTGGACCTGGACTTTTGTTTTGGGGATTACTTTTGATTACAGTTTCAATTTCCTTGATATTAATAGGACTATTCAGGTATTCTAGATCTTCTTGATTCAGCCTTGGGAGATTATAGGAATCCAGGAATTTATCCATTTCTTCTAAGTTCTCTTGTTTCGTGGCATTCAGATACCCTAAGTAGTCTCTGATGATCTTTCAAATTTCTTTGGTTTCTGTTGTGATATCCCCCTTTTCATTTCTGATTTGGTTTATTAGGGTTCTCTCTCTCTTTCTTTGTGAGTCTTGCTAGTGGTTTATCAATCTTGTTTAATTTCTCGAAGAACCAGCTCTTGGTTTCATTGATCTTTTGGATTGTTTTTTGGGTTTCCATGTCATTGATTTCTGCTCTAAATTTTATGATCTCTTTCCTTCTGCCTGGTTTGGGCTCCTTTTGTTGGTCTTTTTGTAAGATTTTGAGCCATGAAGTCAAGTTGTTTATGTGGGTCCCTTCATCCTTCTTGAGAGGATGAAGGGGCCCACATATGATTTCAGAGCTACAAATTTTCCCCTTAACATGGCTTTAGCTGCAACCCACAGGTTCTGGTAACTTCTGTCTTCATTCTCATTTGTTTCCAGGTGTCTTTTGATTTCTTCCTTGATTTCTTTCCTGACCCACTTGTTGTTCAACATTGAGTTGTTTAATTTCCAGGTGTTTGATTTGGTTTTCTGCATCTGTATATGATTAACTTCTATTATCAGTGCATCATGGTCTGAAAATATAGTTGATACAATTTCTATCTTCCTGATTCTGTTGAGGTATGCTTTGTGGCTCAGCACATCTATTCTGGAAAATGTTCCATGTGCACTGGAAAAGAATGTGTATTTTTTTTTTGAGGATATGAAGTCCTGTATAGATCTGTTAGCCCTCTCTCTTCTGTTTATTCCTTCAGAGCCATTATTTCCTTGCTTATTTCCTTGCTGAGTTTTAATCTTCTTGATTTATCCAGAGGAGATAAGGTGGTGTTGAAGTCCCAGCTACTATGGTGTTGCTCGCAATGTCCTTCTTAAGGTCTGTTAGCAGTTGTTGTAGGTATTTGGCTGGTCCCTCATTGGATGCATATACATTTAGGAGTATGATTTCTTCCTGCCTTGATTAATAAAAATGGCGTTCACTGTCCCTTCTAATCTTTTTCAACATGAAATCTATGTTGTCCAATACTAGTAAGACCACCCCAGCTTTTTTGAGGGGGGTGTTTGCTTGTATGATTGTTTTTCAACCTTTGACTTTGAGTCCGTGTTTTTTTCTGACTGTTTAGATGTGTTTCTTGTAGGCAGCAGAATGTTAGGTTCTGTCTCTGAATCTATTTTGCCACTCTGTGTCTCTTAATTGGTGAATTTAGACCATTGACATTGAGAGAGATTATTGTTATGGGGTTTTGCGTCATCTTTCTTTAAGGATTTGTTGTGCTTGTAGGGGTTTGTCTTGTCTTACAGTATTCCCTTTAGCCCATCTTTTAGGTTTTGTTTTAAGTCTGTGAAGTTCCTGAGCTGTTGTTTATCCACAAATAGTGGACTGTTCCTTCGAGATTGAGTGAGAGTTTAGCCGGGTAAAGTATTCTTGGTGAAGCATTCATTTTATTGAATTTTTTCGCTATATCCCACCATTGCTCTCAGGCTTGGAGGGTTTTCTCTGATAGGTCTGCTATGAATGTAAGGGGTTCTCCTTTGTATGTGACCTTGCTGCTTGCAGTATTGTGTCTCTATTCATGGCATCATAATTCTAACTATGATATGTCTTGGAGTGTTTTTGTTAGGGTCTCTTTTAGCTGGCACCCTTTGGGCTCCTTGAATCTGGATGTCTGTCTGCATTCTCCAGCTCTGGGAACTTTTCAGCAATGATTTCTTTAACTGTGGTTTCTTATTGGGATTGCTTCCCTGACTTTCTGGTATTCCAGTGATTGTAATGTTGTTCCTCTTGAAATCATCCCCTAGGACCCTGATTCACTCTAGAGCTATTTTGAGGTCTCTTTCCATTGTTTATTGTTGCCTGTAGGCTTTGTGCAGCTCATCTTACAGTTCATTGATTCAGTCTTCGGCTGTAACCATTCTGCTGTTGAGGGGACACACTGAGTTTTTTATTCCATCTACCAAATCCTTTATTCATGACACTTCTATGAGTAGCTTTCCTATTTCTCCTCTCATTCCTTCCTGTATTTTCTTGATTGTCCGATCCATTGTTTTTTTCATGTCCTCTAATTTACTGGCTATCTGTCCCACCATTTCTTTGAGTCATTGGACATCTTCATTACTTCATCTCTGAATTCGGAGAGTTTACATTTGTTAGTAACACCATTGAGGCTTCTGGACTCTTTTTATCGTCCTCTCCTCATGGTGGGGATTTGCGGTTTCTTCATGTTGTGGTGGTGGTATGGAGACTGAGATGTGACACCAGATTGCTGGGTATGGGTAATGTAACTGTAGCCATGAGAGCAGCCATCAGCCCCGAAACAGCCCACGCCCACTTCTGCAGAGGCCACGCCCCTACGGGTACCTGGTGTGTGGTGGGGTGCAGACCTGGGTGAGGGAGAAAACCGGGCACAGCGTTGGGATGGACCAGAGCAGTGCTTTTAAATGTGGTTTTTGCCCAAAGTTATTTTTCTCTTTCAGAATATATGTTTTTTGTGGGATTTGACCAGAATTCTATTGTTTCAGTTGGTTTCTCTGGGTCTATCAGAAGGAGTTGTAAGTGTGAGGTAGAAATTGCAGTTTCTATCTCTAGACTCTTGGACTTCTTGATTTCACTGTAACCATGGAACATTAAGATACCCAGTGTGTCCTGTAGCTACCTCTCCTACTTTCCTGAGAGCTCCCCGTCTTACTCTTCCCTCGGCCAAAGGCATAACACTGTTCTATTTGACTTGTACTTTTGCTTCTTCAGGCTTCCTCCTTATCACTGCTACTCTTCTATGAGGTTCTTTTGTTGGGGCTCCTATTTTCACTTTTTGGCACGGGGGCCACAGCTGGCAGTACTCAGGGGACAATATATGGTGCCAGGAATCAAGCCCAGATTGTTCGCGATCAAGGCCAGCACCCTACCTGCTGTACACTCTTTGGCTTCAGGTCTTCCAGCTCTCCCTCCTGGTCCAGTGTCCTGGCAGGAACCCCTTACCCTATTTCCACTTGTTCTTTGGGTTTCCACTGGGCTCTCCATTCTTGCCATGCAAAATAGCTTGGAAGTTTGGCGATTTCTAAGTTTCTTCTTCTTAATTTTTTTTTATTGTTTTGGTTTTTGGACTGCATCTACAATGCTCAGGGCTTACTCCAAGCCCTATACTCAGGAGTCACTCCTGGCAGATTTGGGGACCAAATGGGTTGTGGGAATCAGACCTGTGTGCAAGACAAGTACCTTACCTGCTGTACTGTCGCTGTGTCCCCTCTTAAGTTTCTGCTTCTTAGGCCTTGATTCTCTCTGTTGCAAAATGTCACATGGGTCTTGGTGCTTTTGGGAATAATCTGGAATCTAATGGGACACACAGTCACCTTGTTTTGATGATGTCCATGTTTTTGGGGTTTTTTCTTTCCCTTTTTTCTTTCTTGAGACTATATAAAATACTCCATTTGCAGATTATTGAAGCAAATCTAAATGGAGAGTTGAACTTGAAAATAGAAACCAACCTTGTGTGTGTTACAACTCATTTTAAAGATCTTGGAAACCCTCCATTAGGTAAGTTTTCTGATGAGTTACAATTTTATTTTGATTAATAAATTACTTCAGATAAAATTCCAGTGAGTGTGCTTCCTTCATGGGGAAAGAACAGATCATCTGCAGGATTGCCTGCAGGAATTTATGGAATCCTGCCACTGAATGGGAATTGATTGGCTCAGATTTCTTTTCTCATCCGGAAAATGTCAAGTGACACTAAGTAATCTGCAAGAGCTTTTCTGTATCTTAAATTCTTCTTTCTGCTCTAAACCTTTTTTTTTTTTGTGGATGGGCATTTCTGGTGGTTCTCAGGGCTTACATCTGACTCTGCACAGGGAACCATATATGATACCTGGGATCAAACCTGGATTGGCTGTGTACAAGGCAGGTGTCTTACCCTCTGTAGTATCTCTTTGGCCCCTGCTTTTAACATTGCATGTCTCACTTTAAATGGAGTCAGAAATTAGCGAATGCGAATGTTCCCTAGGTGCTTAAATTTGTCATCTCATGCCAGGTGATAGGGGACTGTAGAATAAGTGAGGAGATATATTTAGAGAGAATTGGAAGTGTCACAGAACTTACACAGCTGGGAGAGATACTTTTGTGGGAATGAACAGGGGATCAGAAGCAAAGTGAGGGTTTTGGGGTGGGGGGCTTATATATATATATATATATTTTTTTTTTAATCGAATCACCGTGAAATACACTTACAAAACTTTCATGATCAGGTTTCTGTCACACAATGTACATTCACTGACCCTCCACCCGTATACATTTCCCACCACCAGTATCCCAGAATCCCTCCTGCCACCATCGCTTTCCCCCACCCGCCACCACAGCCTGCCTCTGTGGCAGGCATGTTTCCTCTCCCTCCCTATCCCCCTTCCCCTTCTTTCCCTTTTGGGCATTTTGGTTTGCAGTATAGATACTGAGAGGCCATCATATTTGATGATCCTTTACTCACGTTCAGCACATGTCTCCCATCCTGATTGATCCCTTCCATTGTCATAAGGATCCTTTCTCTATCTCAACTGCCCTCTCCCCCAGCTTTTTTTCCCCCTTAAGTTGCCTTTAATTAAATAGATGGATCGGATATGAACAAACTCGGAAAACTTTTTTATTATTATTTATTTATTTTTATTGAATCAGTGATCTAGAGCATTACAGAGATGTTCGTGATTGTGTTTCAGTCATACAGTGTTGCAACACCCATCCCTGCACCAGTGTAGTTTCCCAGGACCAGTGTCCCCAGTTTCCTTGTCTCCCCAGCTCTTGAGGCAGGCTTCCACCTGTGGACCAGTACTCCTGGCCCTTAGCAAGTATTTTTAATAACTTGCATGTGTTCTAAAGCAAACATAATAGACCATATTTAGAATTTGAGAGGCAAATTACTACAAGTTTGTTTATCAACACATATTTCAATAAGGAATGGACATTATGGGGTAAGTGCATACTATTATAGCATATTAGAATCTGTATGTTTAAAACTTCGATACTACTTATGTGATCCAGGTTTGTTTTATCACCCTTAGCAGAAGATGGGTCATAGTTTAGCTCCCTGGAAATTAGCATAGAATTTAAAGAGTCAGGACTTAATAAATGCTTGCTTAATAAGTAATGACATTTTACCATATCTTGTAATACTTCTTCACTAGTAATGTAAACAGTTTATGGATTGTTGGTTATATTGCTATATCTGGGTACCCTATCATATCTCCAAAGATTTTTTTGTGGGGAGGAGTTTTGGGGCCATACTAAGCAGTATTCAGAGGCTACTCATGACTTGGTACTTGGGAGTTGCTTCTAGTGATGCTTGGGTTTCTGGCAGGAATGGGAGAACTTAAGCCCAGGCCTCCTCCATACAGTGCATGCCCTCTAATCTGGTGTGCTATATTTTGAGCCCAGATATTGTATTTTAAAACATTTGTATCATTTTAGCCTCTGAAAACAGATCTCAAGATAGAAATCCAGAACAAATGGCTGAAGTGCACATAGACATTAAGAAGCTCCTACAACTTCTTGCTGGACAACAAGTAAATCCGACGAAGGCTATCTGCAGTAAGTTTATGTCTTTATAGTTTCAGAATTTTGTGCAGTCATATAAACACGAAAATAATCTCAGTCATGTGGTCTGAGGTTTTCTGGAGCACAGAGGCATTTGGCTTTTTTTTTTTTTTTTTTGATTCATAAATCCCTGAAAATGCATCTAGACTCAGCTCCGGGCACCTTAATGAGGATACTTCTGGAACCAGTATCCATTGGTTTTGTAGGTAGTCCAGACTGTCTATGCCAGGACGAGTAAATATCAGGTGTTGCATTCTTGCTCTCTTGGTCTCCCCTTTCTTGATTCATCTGAGTTTCTGACACATCCTCACTAGTTGTGCTATGTCTTAAGGCATTTAGGCTTCCTTAAGATTCCACTTATTGGGGTCAGAGATAGTACAGGAATTTAGACACTTGCCTTGCATAGATGCACCTGGCCTTAGTTCCATCCCAAGAACTGCATATGGTCTCCTAATCACTGTCATCAGTGAACCCTGAACACTGTCAGGTGTGGCTCAAAAACCTCAAATATATCAATTTAAAAAAAAGAATGAATTGCAGAATGTTTGGGGCCACAAAAAGAGGGAAAAAGTGGAGGAGGTCCGAATCTTGCCTTGTGTGTAGCCACCCTCGTTTAAATTCCTGGAATCACTCCTAGGACTCCTGGGGCAGGGCTACTAAGTGACCAGGACCAGGAATAGCCCATGAGCTATTCCTCCTCCACCCCTAAAGACCCCTCCCCCAGCCCCAAAGAGTCTCAGTCATTAATGGTAATGGTGGTCTAGTGATACTGCTTTGGTTTCACTTTCTCAGCTACTCACTAGTTTTCACACTTGTCATGGACCAAAATGGCTTATCAGCCAAGAAATTTTCAAGACTGCCTGTTTACTGCTAAGATCACAGCACCTGAAAGACAGCATTGGCCTTGTTTGGAATTGGCCCCCTTTTATATGATAACTCATAGGCTGACCACTTAGTTATCCTAACCACTTAGCTATCCTAGATGACATTAGACAAGATTATGATATAAAATAAGATTATAAGATTAGATAAAATAAGATTATGGAACACAGAAGATAGTGCAGGGGACAAAGGGCCAGAGATTCCAGGACACTAGAAGGCTTGATCTGTTGGACAGGAACTATGCTGAATTCTGAGAAACTTGGGCACGATGATTGCGAATCTCTGGGGCTGCATGTAGCACAGCTAGATTTCAGCATGGACCTTTACCAATTTTAGATAACACTTCTCCAAAGACCAGCATGTAGAGCAGCCATCAGGAATCTCTGTAAGTGCAAATACCTACTCGCTCTCTCTGAGACCCTCAGTCTTCATTTCTAACAGGTTCCTGGATGATTCCCACTGTCAGGCCTGACAGACCTGCCTTCGGTGGCCATATTGCAAACTAGCAATACGTGTTGAATAGTAACTCAGAGAATGGCACACTTACTCCGACTGAACGTGCATTGTGCGTGCATGTAACCATAAAGCAGAGGAGTGTGTTGATGTTGGCAAGACTTCAGAAAGGTGACAGGTGAACTTGAGTGTAGCAGAAAGATGAACCCAGTAACATTATGACAGCCGAAATTGTTGTGCATTATGCGTTCCTTATACCTTTTCTTGTCCTCCCCACCCCCACGCTCCTTTTCTGTCAGGGCCTGTGGCTGGCCTGCTCCACGTGTAGCTCCATAGTCTCTCCCAGATGTGTCTCTACTTTTGCTATCCTGTGTATTCCCACTGCTCGTGTTTCTCTGCTGGCCCTCCACTTGCTTCTACCGTCAGTTCTCGTGTGACTCGTCTCTCCATAGCTAGGGCCCCTGTGCTGTAGCCCTGTAACTCTCTTTGCCAGTGGCTATAGCTGGTCTTGATTGGATTTCCTTGTGTGCCTTGCTGTGTGGAGAGCAAGCTGTCTTACCCTTGGATTCTTCCTTGCAGCAGTTCTCCTCCTAATTCAGTTACTGGCACCCTGGGTTCTGCACTAGTATTGTCACACTAAGTCATTCTCCCTTTTCCCTTGCTCTTAAAAGAGAGGAGCTATAGCACATTTACCTTTTTTTGGTCTTTGTACCCATGTCTTGGAATATGTCCCTAGCCACACATATTATCTTGGTCTCATCTTGCTAGAATGTACAGGATTGCTGAATGTACATGAGCTGACTGAAGTCTTACCGTTATTCTCATGGACACTTGGCTGTTTTCAACATGTTTCGGCTGCCCAGTGGCAGGAAGCTGCTTTTTCCTGCATGCATTGTGGGTCCCAGGAAGGCTGCTTTGGGAGCTTCCAGCACAACAACCAGCAGCTCCTTCTCTCTTCCTCTCCACGACTAAGTGTTGATGAGTTGACCTGAACTGGCTGCTTTGTTCAGTGTCACCGTACAGTCCACTTGCCTCTGTAGAAGGCAGTTCCAGGATGAAAAAGAAAACATTAATAGGAATGACTGCGTGTGCTGGAACAGACCTTTACAGTAATGTGTTTTCTTCTCTCCCTAGATATTGTGAAAAACAAGATTGTTCATTTTGACTTGCTCCATGAAGATGTGTCCTTGCAGTACTTCATCCCTGCTTTGTCATAGAAACAAGTTATATATGCGGGACCTCGGGGGCCTCTGTCAGATCCTGGAAAAGCAGCAGGGGGATGTGCCCTAAGTCACTTGTGTTTTTATGGCAGCGTAAATCCTGTACATATCACTTATCTTGCCATTGTAAAACAATTTTTGTTTTTGTTTTTGTTTTGGGGTTCCATCCAGCACTGCTCAGGACTTACTCCAGGCTCTGGTCTCAGGGATTCTGGCAGTGCTCAGGGGAGCATATGCAGTGTCAGAGACTGAACAGGGGATTGACCATTTGCAGGACAAGTTTGCCTTACTCACTTTCTGGCCTACTGGTAAAATATTTTAACTAAAAATAGTGAAGCACAGTTGGATAAAATGTATTACTTCACATATCTTGTATATTTCTCATGTATTTTGTTTTGTAAAATATTGAAAGAAAGATAGAATCTGGATTTTAAATAGCACTTTTAATTGAAGTTATAAAAAATGTTCCTATATTTAGAATTAGTGTGGTAATAAAAATTTGCAAAAGTATTATGTGCAGAGTATTGCATTTTCTTGCCCATGATGCTTTCTCCAGCTCAGTGTGTTGTAGCATTTATTTTGGGGAGTGGATTGCCGAGCACACCTGAGCTTATCACTCCTCTGGCTGTCTCTGTTGCTCAGACGAATGTCTCCTCAGAGTACGGATCGGGTCTTGTGAGACATGGAGAGCAGAGCCTGCTTCTGGCCCTGAGTCCATATCTTTGTTCCTTCTTTTTTTTTTCTTTTTGGGTCACACCCCGCGATGCACAGGGGTCACTCCCGGCTCTGCACTCAGGGATTACCCCTGGTGGTGCCCAGGGGACCATATGGGATGCTGGAAATCGAACCCGGGTCGGCCATGTGCAAGGCAAATGCCCTACCTGCTGTGCTCCCTCTTGTTCCTTCTAAGTGTTTCTTAATTTGGAAGTAACGCTGAGGTGTTTGGCATAGGGAAAAACAAGACCTCGCATGTGTTTCTCATTAGGTCCTGACACGTGATCCTATGCATGTGTTGTAGCAGGCCCAAACTCCTCTTGGGTCTTGCTCCTCTTCTCAGGGGACATCTGTCACATTCCCCAGTATGAGTAAATCTTTTCTTATGAAGCAGCACATCATCGATGCCATTTTAATGTCACAAGAAAAAAAATGAGGAGAAAAAGGGAATCACTTAGGATAAAAGGAAGAAAAAAGAAATCAAAAAGCCTTGCATTTTTTTTTTTCTGATTTGGTCCTGTTGTTTGGTAAAACCAATGTATTTGAGTTTTCTGATATCCCTAATGTTCAAATGGGTTGTAATATTTTGTTAAATCAATATATTCACATTTAATTCTGAACACCTTCTCTCCTCTCTGCTTATAAGAAAATTAATTATAACTGTAGTGGTGAAACTTAAATCATGGTTGGGGCTGGAGTGATAGTACAGCATGTAGGACATTTGCCTTACACGCAGCCAACCCGCTTTCGGTCCCCAGCATCCCATATGGTCCCCCAGGCATCGCCAAGAGTGATTCCTGAGTGCAGAGCCAGTAGTAACCCCTGAGCATTGCCAGTGTGACCCAAAAAGCCCCCCCCCCCCCAGAAAAAAACCCCAACTTAAATCATGGTTTATAGTGAAGCAATGTCAGCAGTTTCCTGTTAAAGAAAATATTAGTGAATTACTTCTCTGGAAAATGAGTTACTACAGATTATTATTAAGGTGATCATTTGTTTGCTTGTCTTGGGGCCATCCCCAGAGGAGCTCGGGGATTGTTCCTGCCTGCTCAGTGATCACACTGGTGTGCTCATGGGGTCACCTGTGGACCCAAAGCAGGCAGGCTTCACTGTTAGGAAGGCATTCTCTCTCCAGCCCTTGGCAAGATTATTTTAGTGTATATTGAAAATAGACTGTCTCTTTAGTTTAAAAGAAAAAGCTTATTCATCTGAAGTATACAAATTTAAAGGCATTTTTTGGCTTTCCGTGACAGGGGCATGCACTCTTAGACATCTGGAAAAAGTGTCTTTTTCATCTGCTTTAATTTTGTAGATTTAAACATTTGAAAATGTCCTAAAATCAGTTATATATCCTCTTATTTCTATAGTGTGTTTTTGATTTTTTGTGGGGGTAGGGGCTACTTTGTGGTCACACCTCCTGACTATAGTCTGGGACCCTTCCTGGATTTCTGGAGGGCCTGGGAGACTGTATGGGTGCCAGGGATTGAGCTCTGGTTGGCTGCATTCAAGGTCATTTCAGTCTATACAATTTTTTTTTTTTAAGTTTTGAGTTTGATTACTGTATTGTGGTATTTGACCAAACACCCAGTAGTGCTCAGGGACCATTACAGTCTGTGCTCAAAACTGCATGCTCAGCATTGAGAGCTCTCTGTGGCAGTGATTTGGATGACTTTATGACCCACGTCTGTCTGTAGCCCTTGCTAATAGGGTCTTTTGGAGTCAGATCTGTTTCTAATCCTTGCTGCTCAGAGTGCCGTTGAATGGTTATTCTTATCCCACATGCATAGGCCAGAGAGCACTGATAGTCATTGTAGACCTATGGAGTGTCCCTTGTTGCTTTATTGAGAGGTATGTCATTTTGTTGGGTCAGGAGATAGCAATTTGGCCCATTTGAGAAATGAATCAGTTTAGTTTATTTCAATACTTAAGTTTCAATACTTAAGTCTTTGGATCTCTTAATTGTTGTTGTTGTTGTTGTTGTTTTATAGACACTTTTGTTTTGTGTCTGTACTTGATGATGCTTAGGGGTTACTCCTGGCTCTGTGCTCAGGGATTATTCACATGGTGCTCAGAGAAGCACATTGGAAGCTGGGGATCCAAGCAAGGCAAATGCCCTATCCACTCCACTGTACTATTGCTACCACCCCAAGACGCGAGTTTTTTGTTGCTGTTTTTATGATGCAAAACTGTGTAAGTTCTTTTTCCTTTAGTTGGTCATTTGGGCCCGCACCCAGAGATACCAGCTGTAAAAAATCCCACATGCTTGCACAGAGCTGTGAAAATCCCCCTCTTGGGCCGTGTAAGCCCCTTGAGTAGGGATTATACATGAGAGGATGTTCTCGGGCTCTCTGGGCGGCTCTTTCGCCGCCGCGTTTGGTGCTCTTGAGCTGCTTCTCCACCCGGGATGGCTATTGCCTTGGACGGACGAAGGAAGCTGGTAGCTGATTAGTTGCCATTTATTCCATCTCCGGTCTCTCCCAGTATGTTCTAGAGAGAATATGTGTTTCTGCAGAGTGGAAATAAGCCAAGAGAAAGAAAGAAAGACGAGCAAGTAAGATAGATACATGTTCAAAGAGGAACATAGGCTTGGGGAGCAAACTTCTGGGCAGCTTTTGATGCGTTGGTTCTTTGAATCTGCTATGTGGAAGACTAGATGTGGTTTTGTGCTTTTAACTACCATGAGATACAGTTCCAAAGTTGCTTATGATTGAGTTTCAGTCATGCAGTGTTTGAGCACCCATCCCTTCACCAGTTTATACTGCTTACCCATGTACCGGCTGGAGCGATAGCACAGCGGTAGGGCGTTTGCCTTGCACGCAGCCAACATGGCCAACTCGAGTTCGATTCCTCCACCCCTCTCGGAGAGCCCAGCAGGCTACCGAGAGTATCTTGCCCGCATGGCAGAGCCTGGCAAGCTCCCCGTGACGTATTCGATATGCCAAACAGTAACAACAAAGTCTCACAATGGAGATGTTACTGGGCCCGCTCGAGAAAATCGATGAACAACGGGAGGACATTGACCCATGTCCCCAGTTTCCCTTCTGTCACTACTCCAACTCCTACTTCTGCGCCTACCTCTATGGCAGACACTTTTTTTTTAGGGGGAGTCAGAGATAAGGGGCTAGGAAAATTTAAGCATCTCTAATCCTATGTTCATGACTAATATCTCAGGTTCCTTACTATCTCCCCTACAGAAAGCCATTGCCTAACAGCACTAAACAGTGAGCTGTGGCTGGGCATTGGGAATAGACCCTCACTTGAGTCCTGTGCTAGAATGCTCGGTTTTGCCTTCAAGCAGTGGAAGTGTTTGGTGACATTCATATAGCAGGAAATGTTGACAAAGGGGCATAGATCTGTTTGAAGAGATGGGATTCTGCCCTTAAAGTGTCCTAAAGGTGTCTAATAGGAAGCTTGAGAGTCTTTGGGACTTTTATAGTTTAACTCAGTGCCGACAGTCCTTGAACCAGGAGGTAGCAATCATCTGTTATGGCTAAAAAAATCTCAAAGTGATTGATTAATTGCATTAATAAGCATAGAAACTGCTTGTATAATAGTATGTATGGCTTCATCGCATCTTTCTGGAGTTCATTTTTGTATTATATATATATGGGAAGCCCTAAAAAAATTGGTGTGTTCTCTAATACTTCTGCATGTAGAAATTTATCTGCATAAAGATAATGATACTTTTTGTTCAGAGTACTCTTTGAAAAAACTTGAAATACCATAATGAGTCAAGATTGCTTAAATGAACTATGATTTAACAGTGTTCACAATCACCATCACAACCATCCTGTTATTCGTCGATTGCCTCGAGCAGGCCCCAGAACGTCTCCTTCATCCTAGTCCTGAGATTTTTTTTAAAAAGTGCCATATTCAAGGCTCTTTCAGAGTTAGGAAAATGAGACCCTTCATTTGTTACTGGTATTTGGCATATTGGGTATGCCACGGGGAGTTTGCCAGACTCTGCTGTGTGGGCAGGTTACATTCGGTAGCCTGTCAGTTTGGATGACGGGCACTGGTGGAGGGATGGGCACTTGATCATTGTATAACTGAAACCCAAGCACAAAATTTGTGGGCCTATAACTGTGCCTCATGGTTTTTCACTAATAAAAAAAGAAAAAAATAAAAAATAAAAAAATAAAAAAAAAATAAAAAAAGCAAAAAAAAAAAGAAAGAAAACATATGGCAAATGATCACACTTAGAAAAAAGTGTTCTTTGTCACCTTGTATCAAAATGCAAATCCAAAAAAGAATAAAATCTCATCTCCCAAAAAAAAAAAAACAAAGTAGAAATGAGATGATAAGATGTTGCGCAGCCGCGAATGCGGCCATGCGCTTCTGTGAGCTTGGTGTGATAATCTCTGGATCCCGGCCGTTGTTGGGGTTACACGGCAGTTGGTGGGTGTAACTGTCTAGCTACTGGCAGGTCCAGTCCCAAACCGTGCAGGCTCGGAGATCTCAGCCCCGGGTCCCACACACCTGGGTTCCTCTGCCAGTTCTTTTATACGTGAGGCTCATCCAAGTGTGTGGAGTAATGTTCATATTCTAAAAATAATACTTTAAAAAATGGGCTGCTCACTGTTCACAATAGCTAAAATCTGGAAACAATCCAAGTGCCCTAGAACAGATGACTGGTTAAAGAAACTTTGGTACATCTATACAGTGGAACACTATGCAGCTATTGGGAGAGATGAAGTCATGAAATTTGCTTATAAGTGGATAGACATGGGGAGTATCATGCTAAGGGAAATAAGTCAGAAAGAGAGGGACAGACATAGAAGGATTGCACTCATTTGTGG